ATGGTGGCGCTGGCATGTGCCAGTGTCAAACCATGACATGTGTAAAGACTTTTCAGGTCCAGAGAGTAAAAGACCCACAATATGGAAAAAAATATCCTTAAGAAATTAAGCCCAGACTCACACACAAAAAAAATTAGATATGTAAAGAACAACTTAAGTATGTAAACAGAAAATTTTAATTCTTAAATGCAGTTAGTTCTCATGACTGGAAAGCATTTATACTAGAAGTTTCCCCCACAAATACACTTCTTGAAAGGACTCAGTCTTAAACAAGTGGACATCTTAGCATCTCTTTCAAGTCTAAACTGTCAGCAAAAACTACAGGACATCAGGCTCTACATTAGCAACCAGTGCTTGACTCAACAACAGCTCAGCTGTAAGAACATTCACCTAGACAGGGAAGATGTGGATTTAATTACATTTTTGCCAAAGGAGATTCCAACTAACACATCCCCAAACTGCAGGCTGGCATGACAGGATTTTCCACCCCTTCTGTGGGAGTGCTACCATTGCTCATAAAATCATTAACAAGTCATTGGATGAAAGAAAGGGAGCACAAGCAAGCATAGCTTTCACACTTGAAAGTCATGCTCAAGCTGTGGAACAATCTGTTCTCTGTATTAACCATGCTGAGATAAAATACACATTAAACTAAAAGCCTTTGGTGTAAGAGTTGGCACCTAGGTGTCTCTTCTGTAGGAACCAGCACACCAAAAAAGGAAGTCTGCTCCAAGAACCCTGTCATTCATTACTGCACACTGTGCTGGTTCTAGGCTTTCATATGCTCCTTAATGCTTTTTGCTTCTCATAAAGACTTATCACCCAACAGCATAATAAATGCTACAAACAAAATTTTCAATGAAAAAGCATTCAAACAGAACTTTTTCCATCCTGCACCTAGTTCTCATTAAAAATTCTATTTTTCAGTAAGTAAAGGGGACTTACTGAAAAGAACCATAAGAACTGTTGAGCATCCAAATACTGTTTTTAATGCCTGCTTGGTAATATTTACTTCTAAGGGAAAAAAAGTGTTATCTTATTCTGTATTCAACAAAGCAGAAAGTATTAGAAATTCTACAGTCAATTTTAGATGGCTATTAGAATAATTGGTTTTTCCAATGGAAAACTGTAACTTCACTACTTGTGCTCTTACAACTTTGCTATGCATCACATTATTACAGCATAAAGAATTACATGCAAAGACTAAATACAGGGATGTTAACAAAATGAGTTTCAGAATGACAATTATTTTGGAATTCAAGTATTCCTCTTCGGGGATTTCTGTCACTGTTGCAAACATATGCATAATACATGTAGTTGGCTTTGGTTTGGATGGAGTTAATTTGCTTCATAGCAGCTCCTATTGAGCTATGTTTGGATTTGTGAACAAAACAGAGTTTGCTGATAACACAAGTTATCACCAAGCAGTGCTTATAAAGCTTCAAGATCTTTTCTGCTTCCCACCCCATCTCACCAGGGCAGTCTGGGGGTGCACGAGGAGCTGGGAGGGGGCACAGCCAGAACTGACACTGACCAACCCAAGGGAAATCCTAGATCATCCTGCTCAGCAAGAAAAGCTGGGGGGAGCAAGGGGGACCTCAGCTGCCTCCTGGGGCTAACCCACAATAGTAATAATATAGATATTTATATGTACACACATGTATATGTATAAATTGGACACTCTAGATATTTCTAAGTTCATGCTCTACTGACATTGTAAAAATGAAGCAGCTTTGCAGTCAGTAAAGGTGGATTAAATGATTTAAAGATACCTTATTAGATTGTAGAAGGTAGAGTGCACTGCATCAGAGTTGATTTTTTTAATATGCAATCATAAAGCTGTTGTCATCAGACCTGACCTTTAATCCTAATATTTTATTCGGCAAAAATTTAGAAGTGGTTCTGACTGTGATGACGATGTTAAGGAATTAAACTGTCATGGCAGTTTACAGACTCTTCACAGTTTATGCATTCACAATGCATTTCTCATACTCTGATTTGAATCCAGTACTTTGATCTAATCAGTAATTCCACAATTACAGGCACCTTACTAAAGTGTTTAATCCCACAGCTGATGATACGAATAAAAGAGATTTCACATAAAATAGGAACTGAACACCAAGCTTACTTGTTCAGCATTTATAACCATAGTCGCTTCATTTTTATCAATAAATCTAACAGTAACTCAGAAATAAACATTTTAGTTACATTAAAAAAAAAAAATCATGTTATGTTCATTTTCCTTCTGGAATCAAAAGCATGCTTAGTATTATTTTAGAGTTAAAATATTTCAATTGATACTTGTTGAAAAGTAAACAGACAATTTACTGTTTGCCAAGAAATGGCTCAACTTTAAGAGGCAGAGAAAGTAAGACTATTTTTGTCCAGGAGGGATCCAGTATCTTACTGAAAATTGTAAAGGCATTATTAGGTCCAAGATAGTGCCTAAAAACTGGTTTTATTAAGCTTTTAATTGCTAGTGAGCTGAAATTTTTGCCATGAACAAGTATTTGTATAAACTATTTCATAGCTTAGAATGTCCTTTGATGGCTCATATTTCAAAATATTACTTCTAGTTAATTTACAACCTCTAAAAACCACAAAAGCTATTTACATAGAAGAATACTAGTTAAGATTCCTTTACTTTCAAAAATAGTTTCTGTAAAATGATTAGAAACATAAGAAAACTGTAAAAGCATATAATTTTTAATCTATATTAAATAATTAAAAAAACCAATAGTGAACAAAAACAGTGTTCAAGCTTTGCTTCCTAACCTCACCCTAAAGGACTATATTTAACAGTTAGAGAGCATCACAACTAAAACTGCCATGCAAAAATACTGGCTTGACATATAGAAAACCAGAATTCTTTTATGCATATGCAAACATTTTAATTCTGACATAAATACCTCTCACATTCACAGCACAAAGACTGTTTCAGCAGTGTCTCCTGGTGCAGGATGCTCAAGAGTTTTCATGTGCACTCAAGTGTGCCTTCCTTTCTTTATCCCTACAGTACTGACCAATGGGAAAGGGCACAGACTTGTGGAGACTACAGAGATAAGATCCCTGAAAGTACTGACTCCTCCAAATAAAGCATTTTCTACTCTCTGCACACAGGGCTCAGAACCAATAACTGAGTTTGAAAAAGGTGAGTGTTTAATACAAATTTCAGAGAAACATACTGCAAGTTTTGCCTCAAGAAGCATCTTTTGATACTACTATGAGAAAATGAAGTGTCTTCCAATACTTATATTGGAAAACACTTATATATACACACGCTCCCCAAGAAAATGATGTCAACTGTCAGTGCTCATGACTCTTACCTCAACTACAGTTGAAATCTTGATGCACCTTTAAACATCTTAGTCATGGAACTGACATATTTATCCTTCAGCCTGCGTCCAGATCCACAAATAAGCTTACAGAAACTTGAAGTGGGACAGGCTACACAGCACAAATGTTAATATCCTATGGACAGCTAAGCTTTTAAATTTTTAAATTCAGTTTATCCTTGATTTGAGTGTGGTTTATATGAAAGACTAGTCAATGAATCACGTGATTTAAATGAAAATCAGCTTACTTTTCTAAATACTTGGCCTAAGGATGATGCTATGCTTCCAAAACATAGTTTGATAAAGTCCAGACACAAGCATTCTTTTTCTCCTGTCCTCTGGGCTGCTGTGATTACCATAAAAAAGACCTCCCAATCCCACTGACAACAGAATATAAGTTGCTAATCAGTAAATCCACAAAGTTCCAAGGAAAATGCAAATAAGTAGAAATTTATGGAGTTGAAGGGGGTGGTAGGGGTAGTAAGGAAGAGACAGAAGGAAAACTTCTGGTTCTGAACTGGAACTATTTTAAGAGGCAGACCAATTCCTTCAAGTGTTGAAGGAGTAGTGAATGAACTAATGAATAGCTACAGACACCCAGAATTTAATTCCCATTTAAACATCATTTTGGAAGAGGAAAATTGAATTGTATGTGCTGAATAATAAATCTACTTTTTCCTGTGTACTTTAATTAGCAATATAAATCATAAGAAATTAATAGAGCAGGATAGGTTCTGAAATGGGTTTCTGCCAATTATCCAACCAGCATTAAGACTAAAATTAATTAGGTTAGATCCAAATATATGTTACTGTAGTGGTTCTAGGCTGAATCTGAAGGAGTTCTAAAACCATGAAAACAAATGTATGAGGTCTGCCCATCCAACCCAGCTAGTGCTGTTGTGCTATTTTTAGTGAATTTTCATCTGTTTTTGCTCAGAAACAAAGTAAATATAGCGAACAGCTGGTATTGCTGCAGGCCACAGAAGTATTAACACATGAACTGCCAGGGCTGGACACACCCTGGTGTCCCAAGGGTTCCCATTGCTGCCACCCAGAGCATCTGTGTGCTCACCTGGTGTGATACAGCTGTCACACAGCCCCACTGGGATCATCATTCTGTCTGTTTCTGACCCTGGACCCAGACACTCCCTCAAGAGAACTTAAAAAACTTTTGATCCCACCCAGAAATTAATTACTGACTGAAGGAATTCCCAATTACTAACTGTGGTGTACTGAGAATTCCCTCAATTTGGCCCCATACCTCAATTATCCCTCCTAAACCATATCCTGTGGTAAATACTCCTTGCCTGATTTAAACTACATCCCTCTTCTGACTCCCCCTGGTATACAAAACATCGCACACAGTCAAGAGGTACACTTAACCAAAAATGTTTGGGCACTGAAGCTGGGAAGTCTGGGTACACTGAAGACCAAAACCCCAGCTATCATCAGCAGAAGGCTACTGCACAGGATGTACACCAATTGTCAGTTCTCTGAATACTCAGAAAATAAAACCCTTTGTACCTTACGGGAAAAAAAAAACTTTGTACCTTACGGGAAAAAAAAAACTGAAAACATGGATGTCCAAACAGACTGAGTAAATTTTACACAGGCTTACTCAAGCATGGCATGTACTAGAATATTTCCAGCCAAAGCAGTATTTACCTCTTCTCTCTTTTTTTGGACCCATTCCTTGTGTTTCTCTTCAGCTATCCTTCTTCTTCTTTCACATTCTTGATTTTGCTTCATTTCCTCAAGCTGTTTATTCATTTCCTAATTACAGAAAAAGTATGCATTTCAAATCTGTGGTGACCATTTACAGCAATACTGGCAGTAGTACTGCAGTTAAAACAATGTAAGCATTAGATTTGGGTATTTTTTCCTTCATTAAGATTTTGGAGAAGAAAAATTGCAGTCAACATAGAAATACTATGAAATACAAACAGTGAAACATGTATAATTTTTAGGATATTAACTAGAAATCCATCTTTTAATTAGGCTTTGGAAGCAATTAAATGCATCAAATCATTCCTCAGTTTATTGAAATGCCTTTTTAGTCAGCAGACTCTTAATTTGCAGCAGTACTTTCCTACAATATTTAAAATTTACACTGTGTACTGCTCTGCTCTGTGGAAGGTATCAAAAGCTAAGTGAAATATTATTCACCTGTGATTTTTAGTACCAGAACTACTTGAACTTTAGGGCTTAATCCAAGGCTTAATAAAGCCAAAATTATTGCAGATTCTAGCAAATTTTGAAACAGGAGTTTTCATTTGAAGATGAGAGAAGAAATTTCGAAGTATATTTACATGACATACAGTATACATGCAAACATTTCTATCTCTCCAGTGAACTTAATAAAGAAAAAATGTAACTAAGGAGACAATTTGAGATGCCTAGCTTCTCCAACAGTAGCACTAACAAAAAGTGCTAATTTTCACTTAAAAGTCATACCTTCAAACACCGACAGATGTAATTATTTCCATGAAACTGATTTTATGGGCCCTACGCTGCAGTCAGTTTCAGCGACAACCCCCTTTTCTTAGGACATCAGTAGAAGCTTACAGAAAACTCAAACACCCACAATACAGTGACAGTTTGAAAATAGTTGTTGCTGTATTGAGGCAAAGTCACAGCAAATGACATCTCTTTTGAGTTGCAAGACACCTGTATTGCAGGGATCCTGGTTTCTGTAAAAGCTAATGGAAGTCTAAGTGCCTTAGAAGACCCAACCTAATTCCACTTCAAATGTTTATCCACCTTCTTGACATTCAGGGAAGACTTGGTACTAATGTCAGCAAAAGATCTGGAATTTCACTGTTGTTTCTTGGAATACCAGTTTAAAATACCTTTATTATGCAAAGAGAGCAATAATTTTTTGTATAAATATCACATTTTTTATTCTCTTCTGGCATCTTCCAAAAATGTTCATTATATTTTTCCCCCAAATATAAGCTTTTTACACTGCCTTGTTGCATTTAATATCTAATGTTTTCAAAATCTTACAAACTATCTGTCTAGTTCTACATGGCTTTAAGTAATGCTTGTTCTTAATATTTAGTTGAGAGACAACTGCTAGCTTACATTTACATTACAAATCCAGAATATAAATGGAAAGGCATGAAAAATTTGGTGGATGCGGATTAACAAATCGAAGCCTATTCCTCAAGTTTAACAAACTACTTTGGTGTACTGCTGACCTGTAAAATTCTGTTCCTGAACCTTCCAGTGGTACGTGTTTAATACAGAGTATGAGGTAGCTCACATAAAACACCTGCATGCTATACTTTACAGATACACGGAAAGGCAAGGAAAACATTCAAGGTCAAATAGTTAATGAGTAACTAAAGTGAGAAGTTATCTAATTTTGGTGTGATTGTTCTAATCACCAGACAATACTTCCCATTTGATCTTCAACAATGGTATAATTTAACCAACTGCCACTACAAACAGAGTGATCAAGAAAAGATAGGGTGCTCTCACTTAATTGTGTCCCAGCCCTGGTTCTCAAAAACTGTTCAACTCTAATGGGGAAAAAGACAGAATGAAGAAAAAAAGTGCTGTAACAGGGATCCCTTTCCAGGGAAAGGACACCAAACAGTTGTAAAATTACATGCCAAGTAGGCAACAATACTGTGCCTCAAAACTAACCAAGTAGCTTGGCATACTTACAATCAGCACACACCTCATTTTCTTCTACAACCTACATGCCTGCCTACATTCCCATGACAAAAATCAAGGCATTAATTATATAAATGCTTCAATCTTCCAACATCGAACCATTACCTGACAGTTGGATAAACAAAATATTATACAGCACCAGTTCAATGAAGTGTAGCACTCAGCAAAGGAAAAAGCACATAACATGAATCATGCCAGCACTGACAAGCACAAACACTATGGAGGCCTAAGAGACAAAAAAGGAAAAAACAACTACTCATGTTTGTACAACCAAGGAAAACTAAATCCTGTGTCTGCTATCTCCTGTTAGACTCAGAATCAAAACAGCTGGATGTAATCACCTCTGCAGCTCTAGCCTGTAAGCAGGCACGCAGCTCCTTCTCTTTGCCAATAAACCACTCTTCCCATGGTGAAAGGTTATCTTTCAAAGGTGACAATTTTCTCCCCGCTGCTGTTTCAGAGTGTTCACCCCTCCTGAATTAAAAACAAGAAACAGAAGAGAGTATAATCTATAATGTATTCAAGTTCATGTGTTCATCTAAAAGTTAGTGTTACTGTCTTAAAAAAGTACTTTTATGGCATAATGTGACAACAAATGACACAATTTGTCTACTTGTTTAGTAATCCTTCTAAAGGATAAATGGCATTTACAGTGCACCTCTGACCATCCCCCTTACATTCTACATTTTCCTTACTAAATTCTAGCTTGTTAGTGATTTTGAACTGTGGAACAGATTCAAACACTACCTTCTAGAAACTAAACAAGAAGAATACACATAACATCAAAGTGTCCCTCTCCTCCTCACATATGGAAGCCAAGAAAAATCAGAGGTTTAACATTAACATCCTGTCCTCAGTCACAGGAAGCTCCATGTACCAAGTGGTCTTTAGGAAAAGCAAAGCAAAAGTGAGAATGTTATTTTCTTTGTTCAAGTCTTGTACAGGTGGATTCATAGTATCAAGCAAGCTCAGCATTAAGAATCCATTCATTACAAATCCATCCGTTCAATCCAGGAAGTTTTCCATCTTAAAACACTTTCACAGGAAATGTGCTTAAGAAATATAGCCAGCATACAATACTTGATGGTAGGTTCTATTAGACATTTAATAGGAGATCTTACATAAGTCACTCGTAACTTCTTTACTCACGAATAATGCTGCAATCCTAGCCCCAGGTCAGAAATATCTTTTATAATATTCAATATATGTAGTATTTCATAAATAACACCATATATTAGGGTCCAACTCAGCAAAATTTGAAAACAGGCCAAGAGATTTATTTAAAACTAACTGCCACAGAATTTTGTCTTGAGAACAAAGCAATGAAACCAGACTTGACTTTACTATTTCATATAGATGTACAGGCTCTGGAAACACCTACCTACACACATACCCCACTACAGTGAGGAATTCTGTTTGCTGAATCTAAGCTACAGATGAAGCATCCAACAAGAATATTATGCTAATGCTCCAGACATCAATTTTTTAAATATAAGATACCTGGATTTTATCAATACAAAATTACAACATATTCACAGGACACAGCAGTACTCCAATACTCAACTGCACAATATTTTCTATCCCAGTCATCTTTAGAGCACATTTCTGTGCTAGAAAGCATTTGGGAACAATCTCAGTTTTACAGAGTTTTGTCCTACTCTTCCCTATTGTTTTACCCATGCGTGTTTGTGCTAACAGGACTTTCCTGGTCAGGTCAGGGTAACTGATTCACACTACAACCTACCTGGAGCAAGTTTATTTTCCCACACAATCCCACTTTTACGGTGTGAAATGCAGAATAACAGAACTGACAGGGACACCCTGACACCCAGACACTGCAAGGACAGAAGCAGCAGAGACCAAAGACTCACCAGTCCAGCACAACCCCACACATTCTGCTGCACTCCAGGGCTTTTATGCTGAAGCATTAATAAAGACCAAAAATTTAACAGAGACAGCTTTTAAACACATACATACCATAACAGATGCCACTTAAGAATACCTAATAACACATTTTGTAAGAAAATAAGTCTCCGAAAGTTCATTAAAGGATAAAAGTATTATACATTCACATTGAGGAAAAAAACCCATAACTTTGTACAGACTTGACATTTTGGGCAGGGATACTTTTTCAATACATTCTTTTGCTTTGTGTGATTTGCATTATGGCACCTTGTGGAACATGACTGACAAATTAAACCAACCTAGAAAAAGTACTAGGGGAGTGAATAAATTCGGAAAAATAATATTTATTATGTATTATCAGGACTTATGAAATTCAAGCTGTCAACTTATCAAAATAAGTTATTCACAGTAATAGGTTAAAAACTTACTGTAGATGAGTAAGAAATAACACAAAATGAAGCTTAAACAGAGGAAAACACAAGCTCAGTATTAAGACCTCTTGGAAGAAACACTTCTTCAATACTGTGTGTACAGCTCTCCTATTGCACCAGAACCCAGTCTTCCTTGGTGTCCACTGCAGCCAGCAGTCACACTCTCCTGGCACACCAACCATGCCAACTTCTGAGACCTTGGCAGCGATACACAGAAGCTGCTATATGAACACAAGGCAGGCGCTTAGTGCAACACAGCAGCAGTGTTACCCAGCAGCACAGCGTGTATTTTAACAGGACTGCCAGCTTGGGCCCTAAAAGAGGCTGTCTTCAGCTGCACCTCACTGCTGCCAGAGAACACTGCAGCAACAGGCCCCAGAGTTGGGAGCTGTTTCAAACAGCCTCTGAAGCTGCAAAACCTGTTGAAGCTTGAACAAACTGCCACAGAACTCCAAGGGGCATGAACAAAATTGCTCATTGGGAAATAGGAACTGAAAGAGAAGGAACCATAAACTGGCCGATCTCTTCACTCTGAAGCTTCTGATTACACTTGAACACTCCCTGGACTTTAGGCAACTTTTGGAAGAAATACGTTTAGGTAAAGTTCAGTGTGGTCCACATTCCTTCACTGCTCCCCATGGAAATTTAAGGACCATGCTGGAAACCTGCACCCCATGAAGCTCTGCTGTCCTTCCTTTACTTCACCGGTGCTTTTAGCTCAGTTCAGCCTTGCTAGTTACATTCACCACCAGTTAATGCCCAAGTCTGTCAAGTTTCTATCCTGAATTCCAGAACAGGATAGGCTCTCCCTGCTCTTCCTCCTTCTGTTTTAAAGGGAAGAATAATTATTATTCTCTTGTCAAGCCGGTGAGATCCCAAGTAAAAAAAAAAAAACGTATTTTATGTTTGCATATAATTTAAATGGAGTAAGATTAAGCCACTGGAGCAGGAGCTGTGTGATGCTTACATGCAAAACTGACTCTGGACCCAGGTACATTAACACCATGCAAAACAACCCTTTAGTCTGCAAGCACTTTTAAACTGAGGCAGGAGAGACTGTAGCTTTATCGGCTCAGTTTAACACTGCTTACGGACAATTTATGAGCCCACAAAAATACTCAGGTGGCCATGGAGAAGACATCCAAGACACTAAAAAAAAACCAAAACAAACAAACAAACAACGGCTTAAAGCGTTGGTCTCGGCAAAGAAGCCTATATGTATGTAAAACAATCTTCTGTCTCCAGCGGAGGGAAGCAAGTGAGCCCCGCTGGAGCCCGGTCCCTGCCGCAGGGGTTACCTGTGGCCCGGCGAGCTCCGGGAGCCCGCCGCCCGCTGCTCCGCCTCCTCCTCCCGGCCCGGGGAGCTGCAGCGGGACGCGAGGGAGGGCGGCGAGCCCCCCGAGGGGCTGGGCGGGGACGAGCCCTCCGCGGGCGGCGGGCTCAGCAGGCTGGCCCCACCGCTCATGGCGGGGGGCGGCGGGGAGCGACGGGAGCGGCTCCCGGGCACCGGCGGGGCGGCTCCCGACGCCGGCAGGGGCAGCCCGGCGGCGCTCCCCGCTCTGCCGGGGCCGCCCCCTCGCTTCCGGCCCCGCCGGCCGCGGCCGGGCCTGGGCGGAGGCAGCGGGAGAAGACGGGCTGAGGACCGAGGCCCCCGATCCGCTGCGAGCCGAGTCCTCCCAGCGCTGGGCTCCGGCCCGGCCCGCGGCACCGCCAGCGCCAACACCGACACGCCTGTGCTCATCTATACCAACTCCTCGCAGCTGTTCTTGCTTCCGTAACGCTTTTGCGCAAGTACCAGTCCAATAAACAGGAACCAGTAACCTCATCTGCAGGTGACAATCCCAACACATCAGAAGGAAGCATCTTAACATTTTCAAACAGCCAACTCAAAATTCGTAATCTATACTTGCATTAAATTACAAAATCCCATTTCAGCCCTCACAATTACTATCTTGTTTGTAAACTAAAGCTTGGTTTTCATACACTTCTGCTAGGAAAGTGGTGTCCTTTACCTTCTCCATCAGTTAATTTTCCACTGATTCTACAACTATCTGTAAAAAACAGATCATATATCTATATAGATATTCCCATATTTGCCAGTACATTCTTTGTCAGCCTTCTTTTTGGGCTCCAAATCCCAGGAACACAGTCCCCCTTCATTTCTTATGCTGGGCCACCCTGTTCCCCCCTCTTTTAGCCAAATCTTAAGCAGGATCACCAACAAACATCCACATAACCAAAGCTTTTCATTACCTTCAAATTTCATCAACCAAGGAGATAACTGCTGATCAGCAGTTGCTAATTTTTTATAAAACTGTGAGTAATTTTGCTGCGGCTGACTAAGCAGAAACATTACTAATATTAACATAAGATAAAGAAGTTTGAAAATTATTGTAGATTTGGCTATGTTAATTGTTCTTGTGAGATTCTGCAGGTGATTTTAACAAGAAATGTATTTTTAACTGGATAGGCAAGTTGAAAAATAAGAATCAGTATTAAAAATGCTTTATTTTAATCAGGAAAATCAATTGTGACATCTGAGGCAACTGACTTGCCATAACAATTGAATTTCAGTAGCTGAATGATAAAAAAAGATCAACAAATCTATACAGCAAATACGGGCACCTAGGCTCCACCAAAAATGAGTGCTGTAGGAGGCAGAAGACATCTCAATGCCATCATTAACAGTCCTAAAGGAATGCCTAAAATGATCTTATTTGCAGAATTTAAGATGGGATGTTTGGTGCTTGGGCTGCAGACAGACAGGCACCCAAATTTGTAATAGCTCTCAAACAGGCTATATCTCTCCTCTCTCAGGAGCACATACTTCTCCCTCCCTCTTGCTCCTCGGACCCTTCACTGACACACAAAACCTTACTAAAATGGTAGAAAAACATTTGGCCAAACAACATGTGCTCTGAGCAAGCTAAAGCTCAGGGCGTATCAGACAGCTGCTGAGGCCAAAACCAGGCAAGTGACAGGAACACACAGCCACAGACTCTGAGGGAGAGGCAAAGGTGTAAGGGATTTGGGATTTCCCCCCTTCAGTGGTGAAGCTTCTGTATTTGGCTTACCATTTCACAAGGAACTGCACTTTTGACAGGCTGGAGAAATAACATTATGGTTCCTGTAAGGAAACAAACCATGTTATTGCATTGCTGATCACCAGATCATCACACAGAACTGTTTTCCAGCAAGCTGAAAACCATAAAAAGGGCCTGAATACTTCTCTGATCTAAGCACCCTTGGAATACCGAATACATCACTAGGCACCAAACTGATGCTCATATGCTTAACTAACTCCATCCAGTTGTGGTAGATTGTGGATTGTTATTTTATGATTATCATAAAATAAAGGATCAAGTACGAGTAGCCACAGTATCTAACAAACAAATTACACCTGTTGAAATAATTTAAGTTCGTGTTTCAAATATTGGACACAAACAGAGTATCACTAGAATCTAAATTTCATGCCAAGTAAAGCTACAAGAAGAAGAAAATTTCAAATTGGTCTGAATTCTTAGGCTACAAGTTACACAATCCAATACCTCAGCTTTGTTGAACACAAACCACCCATGGTTTTACAGGAACTTTGTATACGTGCTACATTCAGCTGACAAATGAAAGCAGCTCTTCACTCCATGGCTACCCAAGCACTGTGAGCAAAGCTCCATGTCGTGCCAAGCAGGAAAACCTCAGGTACTCAACAGGCTGCAGACCAAGGTAATTTCAAAACGGAAAACGTGAAAATTTTCCCTGAACTTAAAGCCAATCTCATAGTGAAGACTGACAATAATCATAAATGAATAGAAAAAATGAAAAGCTCCATGTTGCCTCAGTGAATTGAGGAATTCTGGAACTCAACTGCACTAGGCATGTCTAACTTCTAATGGAGGCCTACATCACCTGGAATGGCCAGAAACTGTGGAATGGACGTATCAAGGCAAGGCAGCAGCAACTTTGCCAAACACAAACATTTGAGCGTGTCTATTCCCTTCCTATTCTATTACACAGAATATGGGAATTTCTCAGGATGCAGCAGCAGCAGATATTGGGCAAATCGCTTATATTAACAAACCTTAACATTGGGACAAGCTAGTGGAGTTTGTGCATTAAGACTGCCCATAGGGAGGGTGGCAAAAGCCAGTTCACCCTTTTGGAAATTAAAGCATTGTTCCTGGAAGCATTCCAGCAACATTGAAGAGATGTGAAAACATAAAATAATATTGTTACTATCCAGCTTACCATTGTGCCCAACTTGTCAAGCCAGCTGCACAACCACTGTGCCCTAATTATCACAGGAAAGGTATGAGCCCAAATAAAGTAATTTTAGTAAAAAGTATTGAAACAAAAACTTGGCCACAGAAGGACTGACAAGATAAACAGCATGCTGCAAGGATGGCAAAACCTTAATTCTGTGAACTGAATGCCAGAAGCAGCTGCCCTGACAAGAATTACACGTCAACACTGCTAAAACCCACAGGCAAAATCAAGCTGCCACAATGAAACACAGAAGTTGCCACAAACAACCAAATGTAGTGAATAAATATATACACACCCCCCAATGGTTGATACCATTGATACCAATGGTTGATTTCTCACTAAAGAAACTACAAAAACTACATTCAGTTTTTCAGTGCTAGCTCACCATCACAGACTATAGAATAGAGCTATCTAGCAATAGTCAGTAAAATTCAGAGTAAAAAGAGCATGATATGTTCACAGACCAATATTTTCTGTCTGCATGGCCACACCAATCAGCGTGTCTGAACAACCAAACGCTCAAGACAAATTTCTCAGAAGTATTCCCCAATAGCCACCAACAGTATTAAAAAAAAAAACATTTTACACATAAAATATCAAGAAAGCAATTCCTTAGGTAACAGACATAGAAAAGATTTCTATTCTAGACAACTGCTCTGAATCACTAAGCACCTTGATTTGATAACTTTTGTTTATGAAATCATTAAGTTTTAGAAATTCAACTGTAATCTGATGAACTCGGTCTCTGAAAATACAGAAGCTAGCAGAATGAAACTTGTCAGTTCAACTTGATGAACACTAGCCAGGTTTAATGAAAAGAATGAGATCATATTGCTTGTAGATGTCATGTCTAATTCTCCACTAGACATTAAGGAACACAGAAGCATAAAAATAATCAAAAAGGGGAAAAAAACTTACTAAATGTAGGGAGAAACACAGGCTTGGACATCAAGCATTAAGCCTAAAGAAAATACTATTTTACTTGCAACCTTGAAAAAAGTAGAAAATTTAAACCAAATATAGTTGAATTCAACTCTTCTTAAGTCCCCTTAAGTCTTCAGATTTTCCAGCATAAGAAAAAATACTGTGGCAGGCCTGTGCAAGGCAGAAAGCTACTTGGTTCACCTCCATGTCAGAGCTCAAGGAACACTGTCTATATTTGTCTGCTGGCTATTTTTGTGCCTGAATGTGTAGTTCTGCTTGATTAGGGGCTGTGAAACCTGAGAGGTCCTGGATTGCTTCACTTTCCTTCACGGTATGATGTATTCTCATCCTGCAGTGCACTGTACACACCGCCAGTCCCAGCCCAGATTCTGCTGCCTGCAGATGTGGAACTCTGCTTTAAAGGGAAAGAGCCTCCAGATGGGAATTCCTCTTGTCTGGGGAAATGTGCAAGAGCTCTATGTAACACATTTCGTTTAAAACCACATCATTGTGAATCACTAGCAGGATTCCCAGTCTGTTTTTTGCTAGTTGGAAATCACAGCCCTCCTGCTTTGAACAGCCTTCACTTTTTTTAGCTAGTTTACTGTTCTGCATAAAGTCTTTCTCTCTTTTAAAAAGCATCAGCTAATAACAGATTTACTTGCTCATTTCTGGGCTAGAATTTTCAGAACACAGGTTATGCTTTTGTTACTGGAAACCCGTGAAGCACTTCGTATTTTGTTACCCTCAAATCCAAATTAGTTCCCTATAGGAAACACCACAGTGACCCCCTAACTAGTATTTCTTATGGAAAACCTACACTGCTACTTTATACAGGAGTAGTGCCAGAAGTGCAACTTATGAAATATGTCCATTCACCTTCCAAGCTCTTTCAGTATATAACTGTACAGAAAAAAACAGCAGTTCGTGGTGTATTATTCCATTTCAGATTTCATTTCCTTATTTATTGAATCATCTTCAACTGAAGCCTAGTTTTAAAATCAGACTCTACAGTACAATATGTGAAATTACTGAAAAAATCTCCTGCTAAAAAAATCAACTTATGCTAACAGTAAAAAATCAAAACATTTATGTACTTAAAAATTATTGAGAGCACATATAAAACAAACTCTGCACTGTGCTTTTAATTCAAAATATTACCCTGTAAATTGAAACTGAAGGCTTAAAAACAGTAACCAAAGTGAAAAAATTACTGAAGTATCTTTGTGCCAGTTTGAAATTTCTGAGTAAATTCACAAATAAACAGGAAATTCTACT